CCTCATCCGTCTCTCAGATGTCCAAGACATCCAATCCCAATGTGGTTCTACAGAAAGATGCTGAGGATACTATGAACCAAACATTTGAGCAACGAGGAAATTTTAGAGAAAATGGAAACAAAAAGGAAACTTATACTAAACATCAGGAAGAGACAGTTGAGACTTCTAAGGTACATAATGAGGAAAGGGGGCTTGGAAAATCTGATACTTACAGGGCAGACTGAAGGCAAAAGGGACAGAGGAGAACAATGCATAACATATTTAGTGAGCTTGAGTAAATGTACATATATTTCACTAAAATACTTAATTTGTCCCTATGTTATGGAATATTAAGGATAGAAATGAACCGGATGTTTAGCCATTTTGTGTTTTTTCTCTTAATTTCCGCTTCAAAAATTATTTAAAAATTTCTGGGAAAGGTGCTAGCAAGACGTACATGGTAATATATTTTAAGGTTTTCATTAATCTATCATACGTTTCTGTTTGATATAACTTTATTAAATTTCTACATATTAATAAACTATGACAATAAAAAAAAATTGACTTTCATTAAGAATGAAGAGAGAAACAAATATTGCCAACATTTGTAAACAATTCTTATCAACGCCTGCCTACTTTGGGTTTTATTACCTATTGTGTTGAATGTATTTGCAATCTGTTTCAAATAAGAGTTTTTTTTTAAGCTGAGTAAAAATTAATGAAAACGTGTATCTCTATCAATAAAAGGCAGGTTGTGTGTGTGTGTGTGTGTGTGTGTGTGTGTGTGTGTGTGTAACGAATGCACGGCCGCAATTTTCGATGGATTTGCACCAAAATTTACATGCACATGCTCCAAGTTAGCGGGAAGGCCAAGACCGACCAACTCCCATCGACAGTGGAAATAATCGATTTTTTCATGCTTCTACGGCAGTTTTCATGTAGTTTGCGGCCATTTTCTACTGGCCAGAGTGAGAGCCTATAGCTGGCTGCCACGAATAGGCAGGAACATTCTATTGGTCAGCGTGAGAGCCAACAGTTGACTAACACGAATGTTAACTAGCATACTAGCATGCAAAAAAAACCCGATAGTTGCATTCGTCACAAGTGGGAAAAATTTAAATCTGCATGGCACTTTACTCCAATTGGTTCATTTGCTTGCTTAAACTCAACGTTGATTCTGATTCCGCAGAATTGGGTTTGGTGTGAAGAAGTATTTGTTGTTAACATTCTTTTTTCATTCGGTTTTTCCAGTTAAGAGTCCTTTTTTAAAGCTGATCGTTTTGTGTTCATTTTGTTTCGTTCTTTTTTCGTAACAGATTTAATGTTTAGTATAGAGCTTTGAAAAAATTCGCAGTGTGAAATAGGCAAGAAGTAAGGCATGTAGCAACATCAACACGGCAAAGGCACTCGTTTGAAGGCAAGGAAGGGCAAAAATATTTTAAGTCAAGTGATAGCGATTGGTGTATGAGTCGTACGATTTTTGAATCAAGCACGGGCAACGCCGGGCCATGCTGCTAGTTTGTATATAATACGACCTCTCTTTTATGTCTTTAATTTTCGTTCAGAATTTCTCGTATTATGTGCAAGAAAATGCGGTGACCTCTTTGCTACAGAATAGTTTAGATCATACACAAAATGTACTTCAGCCATACCGTCCTGAATATGGTGACAAGCTTGAGTGCATCCAGTGTAAGACGATAAACTACATCCAACAGCAAGGTCTCTGATCAGGAGGTTTTGAGGAGCGTGGAACCACCTCTTAATTAATGGTTTTCCGAGGTCCACCCTGACCCAGAGTGGTAGCACCTGTTAGGGTCCCAGCTATGGATAAATAGTTAACCCCTAAATTGGGGTCAAAACACAATGAAAGTGTAAAAAATAGGTTTTAGTACCAGCAATACATTTTTGAACAAAGATATTAACAGCAATAAATATCTTGTCAGCATTAAATAACCCAGTGAGGTTGATATGCCGTAAAACAAAACAAGCCAAACCAAACCAAGCTTGAGCGGAAAATATTAACATTTAGTTTCTATTCTTTGGCAATTTCTTCTTTTCTTTCATTTACCGTCTTCCTTCTTTCTTTTTTCCCCGTTCTCTGTTAATTGAGATGGATAGGTGTTTATAAAGGTTGTACGGATATACTGATTACAGAGGCCCTAGAAAGACTATGTTTCACCAATCTCTCTTGTTAGGAAAACATACTTGTCTTCAAAATTATATATATATAAACAAATCCTGTCTTCAACAAGGGCGGGGGATCCAAGTACCAGTTGGAAACGTACAACCAGAGAGAGGGAGAGAGAGAGAGAGAGAGAGAGAGAGAGAAGAGGGAAAGTTTCAGATAGATAGATGTGAACAGGCATAAATAGATAGATAGATAGATAGATAAATAGATAGATAGATAGATAGATAGATAGATAGATAGTGAGAGAGATGGGGCAGATGGTATTAGATAGATAGATAGATAGATAGATAGATAGATAGATAGTGAGAGAGAGGGGCAGATGGTATTAGATAGCTAGATAGCTAGATAGATAGATAGTGAGAGGGAGGGGCAGATGGTATTAGATAGATAGATAGATAGATAGATAGATAGATAGATAGATAGTGAGAGGGAGAGTGGATAGATGGTATTAGATAGATAGATAGATAGATAGATAGATAGATAGATAAGTTCTTTTGGGGTTAAACTTCCAGCTACAATTAAGTTTCAATTTTATTAGGTTGATTTTTGTGCATTAAATGCATCCTCCAAAAGAATAAAGTTCAGCTATATTTTATTCGATTATATACTTACCATTATTTGAGTTGGGATCAAATGTAGATGAAATATGAATCGAAATCTGACGGAATCATAAGATAAACAACAGATAGGAAACGTTTATCAAACTAACATGTTTCACTTTCAAACATGTTATATTGATAAACGTTGAAATATGGGGAAATAAAAGAAAGAAATTATCATTATTTGCACTTAGCAAGCAGATCTTCGATGCATGCTGAGTGAAATTTCACATTTTTTGACAAACTCTTGATACTGGTTTACATTAGAGAAAGTTTTTTCCTTATGAATGTTTTTTACAGCAATTAATGTAATAATCGGTTGGTGTTACGTTAGGTGATTATAGCGAGTCAGGTAGAGCTGACCATTTTTCCACTTGTTATTCTCACCGTAATATTCTTACGTTGTCACAAAAGGGAACATTTTCCTCTATTGAGGTGTGCAGGGTGATTTTCTGCTCGCTGGGGGTCACGTCTTCTGACATTTGATCAAAAGTGCAACAGACTGATCATATCACAGGAAAATTTGACATTGTTTGAGGCAGATCCATCTCATTTCCTTGAATGTTTCCTAACCCAGGATGAGTGTGGGGTTTATCACTTTGAACCAGAGACAGAGACAATCCATACAGTTGAAACACTCTTGCTCATGGCCGTTTCATCTGCAGGGAACGTGATAGCCTCAGATTTATTTTTATTTTTATTTTTTTTTTATGCAAAAGGCATTGTGTCTATTGACTATCTTCAAAAGGGCTATACAATCAATCGGGAGTACTATGCCAACTTGCCGAGGCAGTTACGAAAGGCCAAACACCCAGGAAAACTGACGAAGCTCAGGACAAAACTCCAGCACATAAGTTCTAGGTTTCAATGGCTGCTATGAAGGAGTGATGCTAGAGTTGTCAAATCTTGTATGCATTAATTTCAATTCTTATTAACAACTGCATTGTTTCTTTCACGAGGGTTGGATGAAAAGTTCATAGCTGATTATGAGGGAGTGATGTTAGAGCTTTGACATTCATTATTACAGTTGTTTCACCCAAACGGGAATTGCTTATGAATCAACCCAATGATAATATAAACCGTTTCCTTATAAGGAAATATTTGACATTCACTTGACCTAGCAGCAGTACTACTGTCGTCTGGAATTTATAAAAATCCTTATTTTAAATGTCTTATTGTTTTGTTATGATCACCCTCCCTATTCTCCTGATTCGACTGTCATCTGTTCTCCAACATGAAAAAATACTCGACTGGGAACCAGTATCGAAAGGATTATAACGTCATATTTTATTGATGACTTTTTTGACCAATAGGATGATCAGTTTTCTTGGAATAATCAGTTGCCAGTTTATCTGGATATAAACAATGCAGTTATTAATAAGTATTTTACAGCCCTAGCATCTCTCCTTCGTAGCCTATAAACTTTTCATCCAACCTACGTATATACTATTTACTCCACTAGCTTTTACGCTGAATATTGTCGTACGTAACCCACATTTCTTTATATGTTATTTAGGACGATATATTCGTTATTACAGTTGCTTCCCCAAAACGGAAATTGCTTATGACTCAACCTAATGGTAATGATAATATAAGCCGTTCCCTTATAAGGAAACAGTCGGCATTCAATTTACTGAACAGCAGTACTACTCTCGGTCGGAATTTATAAAATCCTTCTTTTAAAACTATTTTTTTTAAAAAATCGTTTTCTCAAATTCAGTAACTATTATTGCTCTTTCCATTATTGATGGGGGTTTCCTTCCTAACCTTTTATTTGAAGTAGTGTGGAATATCAGCATCTGGATTATGTCATTATTTTCTCTTCTCAAGTCTAACAGCTGTTATCACTCTTTCCAGTATTGATGGAGGTTTCCTTCCTAACCTTTTATTTGAAGTAGTGTCGAACATCAACATCTTGATTATGCCATTATTTTCTTTTCAAGTTACATGTGATACCATTTTAGCTGTTGCATCTGTTGAAAGTTCTCTAGTGATGCGGGTTTTGTTATTTGGCACAGTTCTTTGTTTATGATTATGTAGCGCCAGACTACAATATATGAATTAGGATGATCTTCGCAGGACCCATAGGCTTCACTCACAGAAAGCCATTTTTAACCATTGATCTTAGAAAGCGGTTGTGCTCAGCTGACAGTTTAGATATTTCTGAACGGGTTTACCTCTATTTGGTTTTGGCATCCTTATGAAAGCCTCGATTTGATTGAAGTCCTGTCGGGATTTATTATAGACTAGCAGTAGAGCCCGGCGTTGCCCGGGGATGTAACAGTAAGAGATAGTATCGACCATCATAAAGACTGAAATATAAAATTGACAAAGATTATTGTTTAAGGTTGACGGACACGCATGTCTTAATTAGTTTTTTTTTTTTTTACGAATTGGTCAAACCCAAACTCAAACAAAAACATTGTTTTCAATCGTTATGAGTCTATCGATTGAATAGAATTTTATTATTAACAATTGTCTTGTAAATGGAATTTTTACAGCATTCTGAATGTAAAAATAAAGAAAAAGGTGTGCAAGACAATAAGAAACACTACCTGCCAAAAAAAAAGTGAAGTTTTGTTGAAATCGGTTGAAAAATGTAGGAAATCCGATCCCATATATAAACGAACACACACACACACAAACAACCTGGGTTTTATAAGTATAATTCGATATGAGTTGTCCCCCTTTCATTCTCGTGATGCCTCTTAATCGTGTTTTCAAATTGATTTCGTGCAAAAACAATTGAGTTTTTCCAATTTTTGGCGCTGTCAGAACCACCGCAAGGTAATTTTACGTAGTCCTGTGAAGTTTTGTTGAAATCGGTTGAAAAATGTAGGAAATCCAATCCAATATATAAACGTACAGTCACACACACACACACAAACACAATCTGCGTTTTATAATAAGTAAGATGGACACAATCTTAAAAACATAATATACATAGTTCTTGTTGATTATAGAGTTTTTCTTCTATGAGCTGTGTCACTTCAAGACGTGTGCGGTCATGGCTCTCCACAATTTCTTGTCCGTTGGAGCTCTTGTTTTTTTTTGCTATTTCTCATAAACTGTGCTCTGCTATCCATTTACAGAAGTTTGCTAGGTAGGTTATATTTTGTTTTCCTTTTGCCTTCAGTATGTAAGAAAATTACTCTAGCGATAACTGTTAAATAGTGAATTTGATCTTCACTGGATGCTCTATATCTGTGGCCTTATGTCAAACTAAGGTTCGTAAATAATAAGATATTTTGTGAAGATTTTAAGTCTTTTTGATTTTTGACTATGTTTAATCTGTTCTTTTGGATTATATAAATATACATTTATATTTTGTTGATAACAGAATAGACATGAAAGTCGTTTTGAACGTACCTTTCCTTCTTTCCTAGCAGAAGACTCGACACATTTCTTTAGACTTTTCAATGCGTATCTTTCAATTCTTCCTCTTCCATGCGCCAAGTAATTTCAAAACGTAGTCGCTTGTGGTTCTCCACAGCTTCCTCTCTGCTGTCGCTCCAAGTCTCTTTTGACCATTCACACATTCTTTATTCTCTTTTGCCTTCCAGAAACTCTACCTGCTCCTCTTGCCTTCAATATGGTGAATTTTAAACGTACTTTAATGTGGCACAAATTCGAAAGTAAGGGGCGCCCAGTGTGGATCGAACTCACTATTCCGTCGTAATTGATCTCGTGAGACAAGCTTGCTAAACATTACAACACGTCGAAGTGCCCTAATGATTTTTTTAAGCGTACCTTAGATGTGGCACAAGGTAGGAAGTGTGGGGCACCCAATGAAGATCGAATTCACTATTCCGTCGTAATTGATCTAGCAAGACAAGCTGACTAAACATTACACCACGTCGAAGTGCTCTCTCTTCAATATCTCTTGTGAGTGTTAAATTTTCTAGGCCTACTTTTCCCATTATGTGAACCAGAATTTTCAACCTTCTAATTAAATAAGAGAAACAGTGCTATTTCTAAAGTTGTTTTATTATTAACTTTTTGAAGTTGATTAAATCATCCTGATTTTACGGGCTGCAACACGCATAACTAAATGTATAAGACATTCTTTATCGTAGGGCTTTCGAGCCTAAATTATGCCTGATTATTATTATTATTATTATTATTATTATTATTATTATGCTGTGTCTTACCAAGCTAAGCTTAATAAATAACAATGTTTAACTAGGAAGTCTTTTCTTTGATCAATGATTCGACCGGTCATTTGATTGATTGGTTGACTTCAAAAAGACAAAAAGGAAAGTCGAAAGTGGGGAAAAGGGTTCTGTTAAAAGATATTTTGTGTCTATCTTATGCCTAGGCTTTCTTTGATGTTACACCAAACGACGGAAGTGTACGTGTTATAATGGTAAAAAGGGAGTGAGCAGACTTATCTCTATGGTTGTGGGGCAAGGTAAGGAAGGTTCGGTCCTCAGACAAAGACCTCCGAAAGCTAAATCAACGAACCATTTATTTAAAAAATAAACACACACAAAAAAAAAAATTCAAGACGCAGTAATGTCCTCGTTAAGTGAGATAATCGATAAGAACAACTACGTCCTTCTTTCTTCACCCACCCAAACAAGTCTATCTGCACTCGCTTGAATAACCGTGAATAGACAAACGCTCACCAACAAGATAGATATTTAAGACCAAGGGTAGAGGCAGTGGCAAGTGGACAGCAAGGGAACGTGTAAGAGATGTGGTTCGATGTACAACTAAAGTGATATGTTATTA